TCATCATCATCATCAGCATCATCATCATCATCATCATCATCAACATCACCATCATCATCATCATCATCACCATCATCATCATCACCGTCCTAATCGTCATCGTCGCCTTGGGCGGCGGAAGCGCGAAACACGTGCATGATTTTGCATTTGCCGCAGCAGTGGCATCCAGCCGCGCCCTTGAGGCGTTTCGCCTAAGAGGGGAGAGTGGGCGAGGATGGTTGGGGAGGGGGGTGACAGGGGGCGCGTGGGGACGGGCGGGGACATTGGGGGGAAGGGCGGAGGAGGCGGGAGGAAGAGGAGGGGGTGATGATGAGGGGGAAGGGGGGGGAGGAGGGCGAGGGGGGAGGATATCCGAACCTCCTTGTGGGCCTTCTCGTCTTGGATGAAACACAACAGGGTGCACTGCAGCACGAACGCGCTGCCGTCTCGACACCCCTCCGACAAACGAATGCCCGACTTAAAATTGAGCAGACCCGTGAAAAACATGTGCAACACACTCTTGAGGACCCCCGCGTACTCTCCCGCAACAGACTTCAACAACTTGTATTCCAGCACACCAATGGGGAACCACCCCTCGTCGGAAGCCCTGAACGCTTCTGGGAACTCCCCAAGAGTCCAGTACAACGCCACGAATTTCTCCACGCTGTCGGGCCGAAGTTGGTTGCCCGTGACGACCTCGTCTCCCCATATCCGCCGCCGTGCCTCGCACGAGCTGGAGTGTCCTCAGGTCCTCACGTGGTGTCTGTGTTATGTTCCCTGTTCTACGGATTATAAAATTTCAAGCCTCTGACCCACAACCAAGGCACAGTGGCAGGGTGGGCCGAAGGCCACGAGCTAATGAGGCGGCCAATCTTACCTTTCAAATATGTAGAAACAAAACGGCCGAACGAATCGAACGTGCACAGATGATGCAACAGGGCAGCTGGATGAATGACCGTCCACTCAAGGACGCCGCCGCCAACGGTTGGCAGAGACAGCGTCTGCAATACGTGGCCGTATTGGTTGGATAAGCCACGCACATGGTCGGCCACGATTTTCCCTGCGTTGCTGGCCGTGCTCGCGTCCACATCTACTAAACCAGCTGTGATCCTGGCGACGGCGCTGCTCGACACCCGCAACCCCCCGTCTCGAACGCCCTGCAGAATCCGAGCCTTTTTGTCGGGCGGTCTCGAGGAAACATCCTGGGGCGGTCTTTTGGCCATCGCCAAGACATGCAACTTGGGCCTAAACGTCGACAGCACCCGAGCCCTCGCGGGATCTCTTGGTGGCTTCTTAGGGGTATCGTGGACGCCTCATGGGGGCTTAGTGGGGCTTCTCGCTGGCCGCTTAGCGTGCCTCTGGGGGCCTCGTTGGGGGGGGGGGCTTCTTAAGGGCTTCTCGGGCGTTACGCAACTCACTCGTAAATCCAACCAGCCGTCTAGGGCGTAGGCGGAGGAGGAGGAGAAGGAGGAGGAGGAGGAGGAAGATGAGGAGGACGGGGATAAGGGGGAGAAGGAGAGGGCTGAGGAGGAGAAGGAGTTGGAAGAGGTGGGCGAGGAAGGAGGGCGAGGACCAGCCGAATAGCCAGAGGCATATTGAACGCCTCTCGGATGTCTCGTGGACGCCTGTTGGACGTTGTTTGTGGTTTCTGGGGGGGGGGGTACCTTGGCGGTCGAGGGAGGCTCTTGGGCGTCTTGGGCGCCTCGGGGAGGGGGGGAGCTCTTGGGGCCGCTTGGGAACACCCACCCCCCCACTACAGGTTACGGCGAGTGACCCCCCTGTGGACTCCAAGGGTTCACTATGACGTAGTAGCGCTTTTGCGGACCCCCTAAAGAGCGCCCGTAGCAGTTCAGTGTTGGCTATTCCAACAACGCCCCCCCAATTCCTGTCATCCTCCCTTGGTGTGGCCATCGGAACCCGAGGGGCCAGAATCCTATGGGCCAGAACCCGATGGGCCTGAACCCTATGGGCCAGAACCCCATGGGCCAGAACCCTATGGGCCAGGAGCCTATGGGCCAGAACCCTACGGGCCAGAACCCTATGGGCCAGAACCCTATGGGCCAGAACCCTATGGGCCAGAAGCCTATGGGCCAGAAGCCTATGGGCCAGAACCCTATGGGCCAGAACCCTATGGGCCAGAACCCTATGGGCCAGAACCACATGGGCCAGAACCCTACGGGCCAGAACCCTATGGGCCAGAACCCTATGGGCCAGAACCCTATGGACCCTATGGGCCAGAACCCTATGGGCCAGAACCCTATGGGCCAGAACCCTATGGGCCAGAACCCCATGGGCCAGAACCCCATGGACCACAACCCTATGGGCCAGAACCCTATGGGCCAGAACCCTATATGGGCCAGTGGGCCAGAACCCTATATGGGCCAGAACCATATATGGGCCATAACCCAATATATGGGCCAGAACCCCACTTGTGCAACTTGAAGTCGTCATCTCCACTGCTCGCGCAACCATCACACCCTCCCACACGTCGTTTCTGGATGGGCTGGTGGGGATACGCGAAGCGTCGGCAATTTGTAGTGGATTTCATAACTTTTCGTAACTTTCTATAACTTTTATAACTTCTTACAACTTTTCCCAACTGGCTTACAAGTTCATATACAAGAATATAAAGCATGCGCATGCGTTACACTAAAAAATTATAATGTGTGCTTAGTGTGTTCTAATAGGCCCAACAAACATATAACAATATAGAATTTTCACGGGAATTATAAATCTTTATTTGAATTTGCTAACAAGTTGGCCGATGTATAACTGGTGGTGGGTTCGTTATAAGTTGACTTGAGTCGCTTATAAGCACTCTTAGATAATGTTATAAATTGTTTATAAAGGCGCAAACCCCAAACTCACGAAGTGTCCCAGTTGGGCCGGGCGGTGTCCCGGGTGTCCTGGGTGTCCCGGGCGTCCCGGCGCTAACGCATGTCGCTAATTTCATAATTCATGTTTTTGCGGCGCCTGCGGCGGGCTTTCTTATCCAATCCAGCTTATCTTATCCAGCCCAGCTTGTCCAATCCAATCCATCTTATCTTATCCAACCCATCTTGTCCCATCTTTTATTATCCCACCCAATCCAATCCAACCAACCCAATCTATCAATTCATTTGTTTCTGCGCCTGCGGCGGGCTAATCCAATCCATCTTATCTTGTCCAATCCAGTTCTTCCAGTCCAACCCATCTTATCCAATCCAACCCCAGAGAAAGAAAGGACGAGAGAGAGAGACAGAGAGAGAGAGACAGGGAGAAAGAGAGAGATGAGATCAAGGTGACAGGCTGGACAGGGTGGGCATTTGATCTCAATCCCCCCCAACCTCCTTATCGCCCGCAGGGCGGTCGTATAGGTATGGATATGTCCTCGCCTCGCAATCGACACGAACGAGGAGGAGACGGGAGGACGAGGAGAACGACGACGGCAGCGACGAAGGACGGCCACTGGCGGGTACTACCAGTGCAACATCTACGACAGGCAGGCCAAGGAGGGCGGGCACGCCGACGACGAGAGGGCACGGCTGAAGGACAAGCACGCCCTGGACAAGTACATGCTCCCTGCGCTCGGGCAGGGGTTCGACTGCAGAACGGATGTACCCCAGGATTGGCTGACTCGCCGAGTCTACGAAGAAGACACGCAGAATGCTCCGCAGATCTTCGGGACATGCTACGCCTTTTGTTCCATGCATTTGACGGACAAGTAAATTCTGGGGTGAGCCAACTCTGCAGAAGATCCTTTACTCGATCCGTCGGGGAGGAGCGGGGGCTTTTGGTACTCTGTTCGGCCTCCCGGGGGGCCGTGGTCGCCAGGGCCCAATTCCACCCCGAAGGACTCGTGAGAGCGCGCTTCCAGGACAGGTCTGGGCGCCGATCTTCAAAGTTGGATGCAGACCTCGGGCGTCGTGAAAACAAAGCGTGGTGCACAGCCATTCTTCGGTTCGGGGCCCCTGGGGGCCTGCTTCGGGCCGTGGTGCCGCCAACAGAACGATTCGGGGCGAACAAAAGCCGTGCTAGGGAACGGGGGGAGAGTCACGTCACGAAGTAATAGTGACGTTTGATGCGTGTGATGGATGAGGAGAGGGGAGGGGCAGGAGAGGGACGGAGGGTGAGAGGACGAGGGAGGACGAGGAGAATGAAGGCGGACGGATGGATGAATGAGGAAGGAAGGAAAGGTGGAGGATGTGGAGAGGGAGAAGAATAGGACTAGGGAAGAAAGAGGAGGAGGAGGAAGAGAGGATGAGGGGATGAGGTTGAAGGAGACGGACGGGGAGGAGGACTAGAATAAGGACATGGAGGGGGAGGAGGAGGAGGAGGAGGAGGAGGAGGAGGAGGAGGAGGAGGAGAGCAGGAGGTTGTCACGTCGCAACGAGCTCCCAGTCTGAGTACGGCCCCTGGGATTTGTTTGTGAAGTCTGCAGATCTCAGATTCAGGAGTTTTGAGGATTGCGCGGGCGAACTGCCCGGCTCGCTGTGCGACGAGAAGCAATTATTGTAGGTGCATGCGGTGTTGGCGCGCCGAAGGCGTTCAAGGTTGAATTCCGCGACGCGGAAGCACCGAGGGATACGGTGATGCCATTGGACCCGACGGCATCCAGCCTTGAACGATCGGGGCCGCGATCGATTCTAGGCTGAACGATCGACGCGGCAACAAAAACTTCTGCGCGTGCCGACGCCGCACGAGCCGACCGCATCTTTGAGCCTCCGAAGGTCCTGGGTTCGGTGCGTTTTTGTTACTTGTTTCCTCCGGGTATCGTTTTCGGGCCCAGGGACCGTCACGAACGGATCCAGGGTGAACAACTGCACAAGATGGACCTTGGGCCTCATTCTGTCCTTCTTCTGACCGATTCTCTGGGGTCCCAGCCAGTTCAAACCCCCAGCCGCTTCCAAGCCGAAGGTTCTTCTTCGAGCGCTTCATGAACCACGACCGCGCCATGAGGCTCACCGTGCGCGAGGAGGCGGAGATCGAGGGCAAGGCCCGCGGGGTCTTTGGTTGGCCTCCCCCCTCGCCGGGTATTGGTGGGGCTCGGCAGCAGCTGGACGGTCAGGTGCAACGATGGGGGGGATAGGCGTAGGGGGGGATCCATCGGTCCATCGACCACCAGTCGCCCATTGATAGCCGACAGGGGAGCCGATAGCCCCAGTGCGCCTAGGAGCGTGCGGATTCACTCTCGGAGATCGCCGATCCATCGGCGATGTATCGCCGATTCCAGGTGGATTTGTCCTCCCCCCGTGCCAGTTCCCCCTCCATCGGGACGATCGACATGGATACGGAAATAATGGGTACTAAGACCGACTGCATGTCTTGTTCATTTTGAGCAGGACTCGCTGTCCATACCGCCGCGGGCGTTGTTCATTTGAGACAGAAGGTATGCCTGCCCAACAGCGGCCGCCCTCGGTTTTGTGGACGACATTCGTTGTTGGGCATCGTACCCATGTCTTCAGTGCCCATTTCGGGCGTCCAAGCTCCAAGGGGTCGGAGCGTCGAGAATGCAGGAGCGGTCAAGGATCGAGGTCGCTGGGCTCGAAGAACTTGTTTGAGTTCGCGTGGGCAAGAGTACGAAAGCGGTGCAGGCGCCGGTCGGGCTACGGGCGAGGCGCGCCGGGAACTAATTGAGGCACAGGCCGAGAAAAACGGAGGCGAAGAACACGGAAGGGCAGGACACGTTCAGAACCCGACTCGAAGAACAGACGATTGCATAACTGTAATGCTCGACGCGTCGCGTATCCCCACCGGCGCCCATCCAGGAACGATCCACGTGCGAGTTGCATGTTGATCACTGGCAGGCTCGGAGCACGAAGGAGAACAGCCGCCCATAAGGCTTGGTGGAATACCGAATCCATCCGACAATGATGCCCGGGCGTGTTACCATGATCAAGGAAGTGTGATGGCATGCAGTTGAACAGCCGCATTGGAAGCGTGGCGGGAGCGCAGGCAGGGGGAGGGAGCACATGTTGAGTGGCTTGCCCGATTTTCCCATGCCACGGCGGCCGTGTTGGGCCGTGCTGTGGCCTTGCTCGTGCCATCACTGCCTCTTTGAGAGGTAGCTCAAACCGAAGCAGGGTGTTGCAGAGTCGTGGCAAAAGCTTGTAAGGCGTTCCAATGATTTGCAGGGAACGGCAGGGTGTTACAGGGTATTGCATGATCGTTCTAGCGTCTTTGCACGGTGTTTGCAGGGTACTGCAGGGGTCTGTTCGCAGGGTATTGCAATGTCGTTTTGTGCGGTGTTGCAGGGGCCTATGCAGGGTCTTTGCAGGGGGATTGTGCATGGTGTTACAGTTTGTCCAGAGAAGAGGGTCGGGAGAGGGGCTCCATCCGATTATTTCATTGCATTCGGAGAAGCATGGGCAACGCGTTAGACCACCTGCACCCAGAGGGCTCGTGGGATCTCTCTGCGCTACTTGCGGATTTCTTGGATCGGCGCTGGGCCACCCCTCGCGGCACCAGAGGCGCCGCCCCTGGCACGATCCGCGCGCCAACGAGGGGGGTCCAGCGCCGATCCAAGAGATCTGCGCGCACCTCCGGGAAATGTGGATTATGCAGTGGTTTGTTCCTCCATGAACGTTGTTTCTGCCCTGTTCTGTCCTTGGGGGCTTCTCGGAGGCTCTGGGGACCTCCAGAGGCCTCTGGGATCCCCAGAGGCTTCATCAGGGCCTGCAGAGACTTCGCTCAGGACCAGCCACAGACGCCCGCCATGTGCGAGAAAAAGCCGAGCAGCCGAGTACTGATCCGAGGTTTGCGACAGCAGCCACTCCTGGGCGGTGGCACGCCCGAGCGTCGTCTGGCACTGGGTGACGCACGCTCGGCCGTGCCACCACCGAGGTGTCGGCCTCGCCCCGATGGGATCTCGGTGGCAGTGACCTCTGTGTCTCCTCTGTTGGCCTTGCACCCTTCGCCGCGTCGTCGGTCTGGCGGATCCTGGGCTCCAGCGGCCCCAAGGGTGGCCAACCGAGCACGGGGGAAGGTGCAGACCCTGCACGACAAGCACGCCTTCGAGATCATCGAGCTACAGTTCCTGTACGACGCCCTCAAGCAGGTCCGGACCTGCCGCCGCGTGCTGAAGTGGAGCTACGTCTACGGGTACTACCTGGAAGAGGACGCTGGGGGTCAGAAGCGCGTACCGCGACGACGCGAAGACAAGGGTCACTCTTGGCTCAGGGGAGGCTCTGGTCTGCTGGCCAGTGCTCCGGTCCAGGTCGGGGCGCCCACTCGCGACTAGGGCCAGCCGTGGCCAGAGAGACCCTTGCGTTCCCTGATCTCCGACGTCGCAAACAAATTGCAACATCGCAGAAAATCCCGACCGGAGCCCCAAACCCCATCTTTCTGCGTGAATGTTCGTGCTATTTTTTTTGAGCCGGATCGATCTGTGAGGGTTCCAGGGCCCGAAATTGAGCGAAAACGCCCGTTGCGGACAAAATTGCAACGCCAGGATCTCAGGGTTCTTTCTTTGGCGTTCCTTGTGGCCGCACGGTGGCTGTATATGTTCTAGACGCCCGCGGGTGTCTTCGCCGTCGGTCCTGGGCTGCCACCCCGCACCTCTGGGCGGCGCCGTCGGTGCGCTCCTCCGCGCGGGGCGAGCATGTGGAGGCAGGGCGTCGCGTAAAGGGGGGGTGGGGGCGATCAAGGGGGGGGGGGCAGCGAGGGCTGCCGAAAAGGGGCCCTCCTTGGGCCCCTGAAGGGGCCCTTCCAGCAGGGGGCCTGGAGGGGCCGAGAAGTGCGCCTTTCTGCACCTGTCTCCCCACCCCCATGTACCGCCCCGCCATTAAGCGACGCCCAAGAAGGAGGAGAGGAGGAGGAGGAGGAGGAGGAGGAGGAGGAGGAGGAGGAGGAAGGAGGAGGAGGAGAGGAGGAGGCCATAGGAGGAAGAGGTTCAGCGCAGTCAGACCACGGAGCGTCCGCGGGACCGTCCGACGTTCCCATGATGGTTTGTCCTCGCTTCACATGGATTGTCGGTTTCCCCCCCCGACCAGCAGGGGACACCACCGCGTGGTGAGCCAGTGCGGATTTGCGATGACCGCGCGGTTTTGGGACGTGGGGTCGTTCTTGGAGGAGTTCTGGGCTTACGTCGATTTTCCGGATCCCAAAATCTGTTACGGCCACGGAATCCGGGCCGTGGGGTCTTGGGAAATTCGAGTGTCACCGCACAGTCTGTCACACACCGATTCGGGTTCCCAGAAGGCAGGGCCAGAGAAGAATTTGTTCGAGCACGTGCGAGGGATCCGCGAGGAGCAGACGGACCACCTCCTGAGCAGCTCAGAAGGACTCGACAAACAGTTCTTCGAGACCGCGCTCACCTCACGCAGGAGGATGTCCCCGCCCCGCTTCCATCTATTCTCCCCCTACTTTTCTCTCCACCTCATCCGTCCCTCCCCCCTCCCTCCTCCCGCTTCCCTTCCAGTCATTTGTTTCAAATATATATAAAGTCTATATATATATAATATATATATATATAGTTTGATCATATATTAATATATATATATATATATAGTATATACATAGAACGGCGCACCGGGTCCGGGGGCCCGGGGCCGGGACCCCGACCACAAATGTGGGCCCCGGGGGGCCCGGAGGCTCGTCGGACCGCCGGACGCCGTCCAAGATCGTTCGCAGGCGGCTTCGGAACGCGCTCCGATGGCTCCAGATGCCTTCCAAGACGCCTGTCATGACACCAAGAAGGTCCCAGAAGCCTCCAAGACGCTCCGAGAGGCAGCCCAAGAGAGGCCCAAGAAGCAAAAATCGTGCCATTCCTATGGGAAAACGTATATTTTTCGCATGTTCGCCTCTTGGGCTTTCACCGCGTCCAAGACGGCCCAAGAGGCGCCCAAGACCGCCCCAAGACGGCCCAAGAAGCTTCCAAGAGGGCCCCAGGACAGCCCAAGAGGGCCCCAAGACGGCCCAAGAGGCGCCCAAGATGGCCCAAGAGGGCCCCAAGACGGGCCCAAGAGGGGGCCCAGAGGGGGACCACGAACCGCAAGCTCGAGCCTTCCGCCCCAAGAGGCCGCCAGGAGGCCCCAAGGAGGCCCCTCAAGAGGCCCCAGGAGACCCCCAAGAGGCCCAAAGGAGGCCCCGAGAAGCCCCAAATCGGCCCCAAAAATGCTTCGAACCTGCTTCCAGGAGGCCCCCGACAGGTTCAGAGGCTCCCGAGAAGCTACGTCAAACTCCCAGCGAGCGGCCGGACGAGGCCCCCCACAAAATCACAAGAGGGTTCCAGTGTTTGTATCCTTCAGCGCTCTCTGGCCTTCTTCCCCCTGCCCCCTTCCCTGCGACTTTCGTTGACTCAAGCTCGCCTCCTAGCTAGAACCTACGCGCGCGCGAAGCGCGCGCGTGGTTCTAGTACATATATACAGACTGCATTGGCGCTTCGCGCCATGCACCTTGGTCCTTGAAGTTTGGTGTGCAGGCGGAATAGCAGGAAGGAAGGCCAAGCCAACAATTTAGCGATAACTCTTTGTTGCCTTTTCTGGCATCGCCGCTATAATAATGTGATTCGTTATCCTTCCTCCATGCTTCTTTTTTGCATTTTCGCCACACCCTGCGCATTCTCCCCATCCTCCGCAGCTCTTTTTTGCGGAGGCTCCTCCTTGGAGAGCCTCTGGGGGCCTCACAAAAGTTGTTTCAGGCTTTCTTAAGGCCTTCTGGAGGCCTCCTGGGCGTATTCTGGGGGCCTCTGGGGGCTTCCTCGGGCCACCCTGCCTCCAACCGCGGTCTCCCTGAACGACTGGGTCACGATTTGGAATGCTTCGGAGGGTGTCTTGGGGCCATCTTGGGCCGCCATGGGGCTCTCTGAGGGCCATCTTGGACCCGTGTTGTGCCGTTTTGGGGCTCTCTTGGACTGCCCGGAATCCCTTTCGGATGGTTGTGGGGCGATTTGGGAGCCTCCCAGGCGGCTTCGGACGCCTAGAAGACCGCCGTCTTGGAGCGTCGGGAAGCCGAAAAGATGAGAACCCCCAAATTCACCAAAAACCAACAGGAAATCAATGATTTGTGCCTCTTGGGACCTTCTTGGGAGTGCTCTTGGAGGCCTCTTTGGGGCCGTCCTGGTGGCCTCTTGGGCCATCTGAAGGTCACGTCGGTCACTCTTGGAGCGCTCTTGTGCTGTCTTGGGGTCTCTGGGACGTCTCCGATGACCCCGCTGATCGCCTTAGGTGTGCTGGGCAGGCTTGGCAAAACGCCCTGCGAGGCCTGGGGGGCCGCTTCGAGGCCCGTCCAGATGGTCCCAAAGCCCCAGATCCCGGGAATCCGGTTTTGAGGGGGGGGGACCCCTTTCGCGTTCCGCCCCGACTGTAAAAAAACATAAAAGGGAATAGATATTGATATCGAGAGAGAGAGAGAGAGAGGTCTCACTTCTGTCCACCACCCTCCTCCCACGCTGGCCTTCTGGCGGCCCAGGCGTTTCTCCCGTGATGTTGGTGGCGCCCCCTCCGATCCCTGTGGGCCTCTCCGTGGAGAGCTGCTCGCGCGGAGCGCGGCCGTCCCACCCGGCCGTCCCGGATGCCCTGACGCTTCGCGGGATCACCAGGGTGCCCGGGTGACGGCGACCAGCCTGCAGCGCAGCCTCACCCGATGCGGAGGCCGCCGGGCCGCCCCCTTCCACCCCCCCGCCGCCGGAGGAGGCGACACCGCAGCACGCCAGCCCAGTGTCCCCCTACGCCTCGCCACGGCCCACGCAGGCCCTCCCGAAGGAGAAGAGGGGGGGGGGTGAAGGAAGGGAACTCGCTGTACCGCCTCCGCCAAGAGGGCCGGCGGGACTCTCTGCATGCCCCTCCTCGTCATTCTTGATGTCTTCTTCTTCCTCGGTTCACCCCCTTATGCACGCCTCTTAGCCCCTCCCCCTCTCTCACACCAGTTTCTTCCACTCACGGCTCCCACCCCCACTTCCCTTTTTCATATCAAGCGCATGCTTCCTCATTTTTGAAGTCTGCCACGTACCCATGGTCTTCATGATTCGATTTATTCTATTCAGATTTCCCTCGTCAGTCCCCATACCAACACATTACGATGCCGCCAGCACCTTTTCATATTACGGCTCCCCTTCCCGCATCCTGTTTGTGTGTCTCCTTCTCAGCCACGTTGTTGCAAGTTCCACTCCCCAGTATGTTCATGAGTCCTTCTTACGAGATGCAAGCTCTCCTTCTCTGCTTCCTTCAAAGCACTGCGTTGCGATCGGTTCTCATACTTGGAGGCCGCACGCTGCTAGATTGGAGGGCGCCGACAAAACACAAGCACCGATCCTGACAAGGCCCATCTTGGGCACTGGGTTGGTGAACGCGCCCTCCTAGCCAAGCCTTGGCCAGGATAAGTATAGCTGTATAGTCGGCGGTCTCCTACCAGGGGAACGCACGTGCTCTCGACTGCGGGGTGGAGGCTGTTGGCCAGGGTTGCCGCGGCCACGCGGTGTTGATTGCCACGTGCTCGGGATGGAGGGAGGGATCAACCGCGGTCGTCAGTTCTCGCACTAGCTGCCCAGCTCGGCCCCGACTCTCACTCATAATGGGTTTGCCACTCGCGCTCCTGCCCCAAACCCCGCGCTTCGCTCCTCTCACTGCGCCTACTCGTACTTCCGACTGGCCCTGCTCGCAATTGTTCTTGTGTTCCCGCCCGTGTTCCTGCTACCACTCTCACGTCTACAGCGATTCTGCTCTGAATGCTGATCCTCCTCTCCCTCATTGCCAGTCGTCGTTTCCAACCGTCCCTCTCTCCAGAGGACGCTGGAGGCATCTGGAGGTCCCCAGAGGCCTCCAGAGGTCCCGTGCGGCCATCAGTACGCCGAGGCCTAAGCCTTTGAGATTTAACTTCATTCCCAGAACCGCCGAGGAGGCAAAGGTCCGCTTCATGCAGTTCAGGAGCCACGTTACCAACTACACGAATGTCACCCAGAAGTTCTGCGAGCGTATCCTGACCGACCTCGGCGCGGGCGGCAAGGGGCAGCTTACTGGCGTGACGCCGCCATCCTCGATTGGGTGGAGGCCCGATGCCACGTCCATCGCGGCGCCGACTAGGCTGTTAGCACCCGTAGCTCGTAACCAGAATGGGGTCCGCCGGGGTTGAAAAAAGCTAGGCA